CCCTTTGACGTATTGGACTCTATTTACGAACGCGGGGTCCTCAAGAATCACGGCCACATCATCGGACGGCTAAGGCAAAGAAATTTTTTCCGTTATGAACCGCGAACACGCGGCAAATCGATAATGAGTAAAGAGACCTCAATAGTTTGTTTACCTCATCGGGATTTAGAATAACCACATAGGTATTCATGATCGCCAACCCATGATCTTGACAAAAAAATTCGCGTAAAAATTCAAATAAACTTGTGGAATCAAAATTCCCGGTAACCACAACATGGTTATGTTGTTTGTCAGCTTTAAACGGACGGTCGTATTTAGACCTTTGTTGGATTAGATTAAGTAATTCGGAAAGGTGAGTCGGAATGAAGATGGCACCGGCGACCATGATGTACAAGATGACCAGGCGTGTCCAACTGTTTTCCGGTACGAGGTTCGTGCTCATGCCATTTGTGCTATACGAATTCCGGTTTTATTCGGTTGTTAATGAAAAGAAAATAAAAGAGGTTTTAAATTATATCGAAATTTACCATGCTCACCTACTCACTGTTCAGAAATCGAGGAACCAAAGAATCATTAACTCATGACCATCCTTATTTAATGATTTAAATGAGATCGATTACTTCCTTGAACCTAATACATGCCTACTGTATACCAAAATGCGTCGTAGAAACTCAAATCAAAATCCGTGGTGATCTGCTTAAACGATATTATGTGGATCCAGGCGGCAACCGTGAGGAAAGTGAAAAGGATGGTTGTGCCTAGTATACATAGCATTTATTGAAAGATAAGATTTCTTTCGATATATTCGATTGAGAAAGGACAAGTGAACCCACCTATTCTAAAACCTTTCCTCGTGATCGTTGAAAGTTTGAACAATGAAATTCTGGCGGGAACAAATAGCATTTGCACAGACACATGAGCCCTGACGAAACGGAGTGGATAGATAAAAACCTATCTTGGCATAACAGTTAATGGTCACATGATTTCACGTGAGTAACGGAATTTATTTATTGCTTACATATCTTTCGACACCCATGTATGTATTGTCCATATCTGTATCATATATCGTTTGGATGTACGCGAAAATCACCGGAAACACCGAGGCCCATGTTAAGATAGCGAAATAACTGACGGCATAACGCAAAGGGTCTTTGTCAAGCCATACGTGTGGCAAAAATTGAATGAGAATCAGGCAGGCCAACACAAAGTCTGCCGTTTGGAGGGAGTGCGGAAAAGGTATGGGGCTGTGGTCGGGAAGCACGTATTGGGTGTTCTATGCCGCGCCAAGGGT